ATAATAGGTGTGCGCCAGCGCACCTGGCTTGGTCCTTGTTGGTTATTATAAACTCTGAGGCTTGTGATTCATTTAGTGTTGTTGAGAATTAAACAGAATTAGACACTCTCAAACTCAATTATGAGGCTAGAATCATCAGATCTCTTGAAGTCTGATATCTACTTTAATGTAGACTATGATTCTCATAGAATTCCATAATTTAAGAATGAGAGGTTCTCTGTGGACTTTTGCCCAGTGCCCACTGTCTTCCCATCTGTATTACAGATAATGTAGTTGAAGGCCAGAGAGGCGATAATCTATATTCTTTACAGGAGGCACTAGCTGGATTTGATTTCCAGCCTTACACAACACATACACACACACACATACCCACACACCTGTTGTAGTGATGATAATGATAATGATGACCTAAAAAAGCAGATCATAGCTAAAATAGGATTGGAAGGCTCTGAGGATTTTTAGCTGTGTACTATAATGACAGAAATAGTTTTGTATGAATGTGCTTATTTGTTTTGAGGTAAGTCCAACTATGCACTATACAATGTACTATGAAATAAGATAGAGATGAATACAGTATTCTAAAGAAAGCCTATTTTGGGGGAGAAACTTAAACCATGGGAAAACACTCAAAGAAGCAACTACCAATTTTTATTAAGAGAATATGGTACTAAATGTGTTTCTTTAAATTTAATAAAGTTTTTTTAGAATGCTTTTCCATTTGATGTGTTTACACAAATATTATTGTCTTAATAGATGACGTGTGAATATAATTTTCAAGGTCCTGAGTAAACTATTTGTAATTACTTCATGGATTGTTAGAAAATCAACACATAGGCAATTTGTGTTGCAACCATGGTGGCTGATAGTTGGAACATTTGTTCCAAATTTTAAGCTTCAGAGAATGCCTTTAAGGGAATGTGAATGTAATTAAAATTCTGTAAGAAATGGGAACCTGAGTAAATAATGTATTATATTTATTAAGTGAGACAACCTAGGGTGAAATTGCTAACTTATGCCAAATGTAAGATAGGGTTCATAACTGTTAGTTTCTTTAGGTTAAAAATATTATTAGTTATGCAGGGCATGGTGGCACACACTTGGGAGGCTGAAGCAGGAGGAAGGTTTATTTTTAACTGTAAGCCCAGAAGCATGTAATGGGTTCCATCAACAAGTCAATTTTTTTGTTTTTCTTTACTTAACCTTCTTAATGGTTTTTTTTTTTTTTTTTTTTTTTTTTTTTTTTTTTTTTTTTTTTTGGTACCAGGGATAGAACTCAGGACTTTGCGCTTGTGAGGCAGGTGTAGGCACTCTGAGCTAAACCCCTAGCCCTTTCTTTATTATATCTTAAGTACCTGAGTAATGAGCATGTTTAGTCTTCCTTTCTAGACAGGATGAGGGAATAAATCTCAAAATGTTCTTTTATCTCTAAAGGTACAACTTTTAAGACATAAGTAAGTTGATATAATGGCTCTCCAGAACTGGGCACAGTAGCTCATACCTTTAATCCCAGCACTTAGGGAAGCTGAGGCAGAAGGATTTTAAGTTTGAGTCCCTGTCTCAGAATAAAAAATATAATAAGGGCTGGCTGGGGTATATAGTTCCAATGGTAGAGTGCCCTTGGGTTCAAACCCCAGTACAAGGAACAAACAAACGAAAACTCCACAGGCTCTCCAGTTCATTGCACACAGTAGGCAGGCAAACAAAATATTTCTTCTTCTCTAGCCCTTACTGCCAAGAGGCTTGTTGGCAAGACAGCATATGCATGTGTGCTCCTCAGTGGTCTGTGAGAACTACAGAGGAAGCATTGGAATTTCTGTGTGTGAGGCATGTGGCTTTAATCAGTCAAGACAGCTCTCTGCATCCTGTTTTTTTTTTTTGCTTCTGTGAAAGCTTTGGTTGACTTTTTTCTCTGCCGCTGGTTCTTAAGCTTCTCTAGAGAACAATAAGAAAGGAAACAATAATTTTAGAAAATGAGAGAATAGTGGACTTTTCAATCTTCTTAATCTTGAGGTTAGTTTTATTTTGCTTCTTTTATGGGAGAAATACGAGAAACCCAGTCCAGCAATTGATACAGCGGTCTCTTCTCAGACTCTTCTTCCTCTTGCTTCCTGCTGTCTCCCCCTTGTAGGTTCCACTTCACTTTCTTGCCACCAAACCGTTGAGCTAAGTCTCTGGCCCTCCACTTCACTTTCCTTGTAAGGCTCCCACATGGTGCACAGGGCCTGCATACCGTGAGAGTGAATTCTCTTCTTTTTCTGATGTCAGAAGAGAGTGTAGTGCACTTGGGTGGGGCTGGAGTATCCCATGATGCCCAGCACACACACTTTCTCGTCTATAGAACATTGACTGGAAGTTGCTTTTATAGGCTCCTGGGCCTTACCAGTGTGGTGGCAAGGACTTTGGAGTCAGTGTCACTTTGAATCTTGACCCTCATTGCTTCTCAGCCTTTTGGCTAAGATCAAGTGAATCTTGACCCTGCCCATTATTTGTATCACTCTGAGGAGTGTTACCTCTTTGAGCTTCATTTGCCCCAACTGTAAAATGAGAATAATAATGGCACACACTTCACAGTGATTGTGAGAAAGAAGTGAGATCCATGTAAAATGTCTGGAAGATGCCTGCCAAACATGTATAAAACAGGAGCTTTCTGCATTTAACTTTAACTTTAGCAGAACAATTGTCCCTGAAAGCAAGTGTCCCTATTGTGTTTGGCTCTTTGCTCTCCCCTCCCCACAGCTGACTGGGTCTGGGGAAGGGATTGGGAAGGGCCTGAACAGTGGTTGGGGTTGGGACATCAACACCTCCGTGTTCTCCATTTCCGAGGGCCCCCTCAAACCTCACCGCCTTCATTGGACATATGCAGGACATTTCAGTGCCCACAGAATGCCTCTGTGAGTCCATGCTTCCTGTGCTGCTGCCCAGTGACATTTGTTTTGGGTTGGAGAAGGCAGGTCATAGGCTTTGTGACAACTTGGTCTCTGTTCATTCATCTCAAACATACCTCTGTGGCAGCATGTAACACTGTAGTAAGTAAAGTTCAGAATATGACGATTAAGCCAGAGTTCCCATCCTTGCTTTCTTTTGGGGCCTGACAAAGGAAAGTACTGCTGGGGCCAGATGAGATGAGAGCACCAGATCCACTGGGAGTTCATAAACTATGGGGCAGCCGAACCAAGGAAGAGGGAAGGCTCAGTGAGGAAAGTGCAGTTTCACCCACGGTTAAGGTTGTGTAGGTTTTAACCATTGAGTGAGAGTAGAGGTATTGTCTGTACAAAGGTGGGTGTGATTCAAAAATATCCAACTGTCCAGTGTTAGGTGTGAGTGGTGGTAATAGACTTGAAATCTGGCAAAACTGGTTTGAACACTGTCCTGCTATTTAGTTGGGCTCTGCTTTCCTCATCTGTAAAATGGTGTGATAATATGTACTTCACAAGGTTATGATGATTAAATGGGAAGATGCTTGGCAAACTTGTGTTTTCCATAGTGGTTGTGGGAGGGAAGGCATTGAGAAACACAAAGGCAGACCAAGTATGGTGGGCTTGGGGCATCTTGTTCGTTTTTGCTAACAGTACTTAATACTTTGGTCTTTACTCACTCATTTTTTTTAATGTGAAAAATAATTCGTTTTGATGGATTTATTAAGGACACCCTTCCCCATTGTTTTGATTCTCTGGCTAAAAAAGTGGTGGAGCCCATTCTGTCTTTTCTTATCTGTGAGTATTTTAACCTTCATGATACAGGTCCTTTGGGCAACTCTAACCTGATACTTTTAAAATATTTTTATCAACTTTTTTACCCTGGTTCCAGAATATGAGGTGAAATATGAGGCTAGTCCTACTCTCTGCAGGGTCTGAAGTTTCCCCAGTATGTGTCTATATGCACCTGGTTTACAGTGAAACAGCGGTGTTTGTGCATGTGACTTGTGGTCACTGTCTCCTGAGGTCTTAGTGTCAGGCTGCAAAGTGGGTAGGAAGCTAGGCTGAGGAGCAAGCCTAGGGCTGGCTGCTGAGCCTCATTTCCTACATCAGTGGTTACAGCTGCCACCCTGAGCTAAACCCACTCCTGGGAATCACTAACCCAAGTATGTGCATTTGGTGCAATTGTGGTGAAAGGGGTTTAACTCTGTGTAGCCATTATTACAGTAACACACATGGTTTGACCCCCTCTGTGTCGGGGGGATTTGAGGCTTGGATTTTTCTCAAATTCAGATGACCAAAGTAGTTCTTATTTTTGCCAGTGTAATTATCACGTATTTCTCCTTGTCTGCCTTTCATTTTCACTACTTGAGTGATAATTATTCAAATGAATCATTCACCTATGGAAGAATTTAACGGCAGCTACCTTGATCAGTGCATAAGATTTTTGCTAATTTTCATCTTTTATCTTGGATCTCATTTGACTTTCTCATTTCTCCTTTCTACAGAACATAGGAATTATAGCAAGGATTTCCTGCTAAGGGATAAATCTTTCAAGTTTTGATTTCAGATTAATGCTTCTTTGAGAGCAAGCTATCAGAGACTGTCTGAAGTATTTTTCCATTCATGTGTCCCATAATTCTTAATCTGTTAATCTGGAGCCTCAAGGTAGAACTGGAGGTTTCTGGGCCTCTGTCCCAACCCTCTTGTGCATGTGAAAATGGAACTTCTGCTGGTGCATGTATGTGAGCACCTATTTGTGAGAGTTGATGGGATTTTATAACAGACTGTCCTATGCAGTAGAGTTTTCCCAGTGTTATGCTTGGTCCTACTTGATTGTGCAGACTTAACCACAATGATAATGAAAATGCTTCTAGGAGGCAATGGAGGGGGTTGAGGGGACTGTGGGAACATTCTACTGTGTAGGCAGTGTGTGAAAAGATGGTTTGTTTTGCATTAGCTGATCAGGACAAGAAAGCCAGCAGCTAAAATCATCCATCAATAGGACACATTGAGAGAAGATAACAGTTGTAATATAACCTCCTGGGTCTGCTTTCCCAAGCTCACCGATACTTCTGAAGCTGGATACGTTTCCAGGACATGCAGGTAACCTTGATAAGTCAGTTGTCTCTTCTGCTCATTGGAGTATTTTGTAGTGGTTTAACTGGTTTTGTGTCTTAAGAAGGAGAACAGAGTAAGAAAGAAATAAGAAAATTTTATCTTCATTAGAATATCAGGAATTATAGCTGTAAGTAAGGGAGTTATTAGGCTCTTCTGTGAGATGTGCAATTTTTAAAAAATGCTCTGAAGAAATTTTGCATCTAGCTTACTACTTGGACGATTGCCCAGCCTGGTAATCTCAGTTAAAACCTTGGCTAGAAAGCAATTCTATACTCAGGATCCCTTGTTCCACTGGTCTGATGGAAGATATGTTCATAAGTGCACTGGGTGATAGGACAGAGAAAAATCTTTCATGATGTGTCTACGCAGTGATTATTTCTAAATTCCTCCCCCACTTGATTGAACACACAGTGACAGATTCTGGGTGCATAAATGTTTGTGTATTACATCTATGTGTCTTCATAATATTATGCTTGAAATAATATTTCCAGTAAACAGACATATGAACCAGATAAAGTCTTATATCCTCTACTCTTCATTATTTGTCAGTTTTTCCAGTTCATTGGTTTTCATGCTCTTTGGAACTCCTTTTCCTGGTACCTTCTTTGACAGATTCAATTTCTTTCTCTTTCCATCCCCATTCCTTTTCTGCCTTCATCCAAATCTTATTTCACCTCACCAAGAACCAGATGATTTCTGACCTACTGTGAAGAAACCTATTTTCTCTCTTCCCTGTTAACTTCCGTTGTCTAACCTTTGTACTGTTTCATCATGAAACATTTTGAAGTCATCTTCTGTTTTATCTCAATGATTTTTCTCCCTAGTAAGACTTAAGTTCCTCAAGAATCTTTCCATTACCTAGATTTTTTTTTCCCTACTGGGGATTGGACCCAGAGCCTTCACAACTGAGCAACATCCCTACCCCTTTCTTAATTATTTGTTTTGAGGAAGAGTCTCACTAAGTCATTCATTTGTCCAGGATGGGCTCAAGTTTGTGATCATCTCTTGCCTCAAACTCCTAGAGTGCTAGAATTATAGACCTGCACCACCACATCCGGCTTCCTAGAATTCTTGTTATATCCTCAGAACCTATTTGCAAAGTTTATTCTCATTGTTGGAAGACTTCCTCAAAAGAGTTAGAAGCTGCAGTTAGTAGTTACCTACTGTTACCAAATAAAGGGAGGAAATGCTTTGGTAACCAGAGAGAATGTAGTTTTACTAATCTTTGTCTTTTTCCCCCCGGAAACTTGGTTCTGTTGTGCTAATATTGATTTTTATACTCTACCCCACAGGGTTTCCCAAGAGAAGTCAGAAGGTTGTGATCATGCACATCCTGGTAGGCAGACACTTAAGATGAGCCCAGTCATAGCTGGATATGTACATGCTGTACATATCCCCAGAGCTTGTGACCATCATAGAATAGGCACTCCTGTAAGCAAGCTCAGTTATAGTGTGTATACCTTTTAGAAATGAAGGTTATCCTGAGTGGCTGGGACCCAGCCATATCTCTTACAAGAACTAGGACTCTCTGTGGAAGGAGATTAAAAATGTGAGAGGGACATGGTGATTTTCTGTTGCTGGCTTTGAAGATGGAAGTGGCCATATGGGTGGAACTGTTGGTGACCTGAAGCTCAGGCATGCAGCAAAGAGAAGGAGGACTTTGCTACAGCTGCAAGGAACTGAATGTGCCAGCACCCAAATGAGTGTACATGTGGACTTTCCACGGAGCCTCTGGGTGAGTGCAGCCTGGCCAGCCTTGTCTCATCAGCCTTATGTTGTCCTGAGCATAGGACCCAGACGTGCCACACCCGGACTTGTGACCTGTGAAATGAGAGGCAATAGTGAGTGTTGAAACCAGTAGTCCAAATCTGTGTGAACAACTTGCGTTCTGTTCTAATAGTGTTTTGTCCAAGGCTGAGGTAAAGACACAGTGAAACTCTTAGAAAGGCCTGAAAATTAGGATCATAATTGTTATGTTTAGGGATGTTTGGAGAATGAGGTCAGAGGTTAATGTTTTTTCCTAAGAGCATATTTACTGTAGCTTTGGTAATTTTAGGTATACTCCCTCCATTTTTACGAGATGGAAGTGTATGGCTGCACTCAGAGGTATTCCAGGTCAGCTTGACTTACCCAGAGTGTGCTTTGAGAGAAGGAAGTAGCAGGTCATGGTCCAGAGACACATCCCTGGTGCTTTTTCTTCAGGGCTGCTTTAGAGTTGACTTGGATTGGTTGTTATTTGTCTCTCAAAGACTACCATTACATGAACATTATAGTAACTGAAAATCTACTTTTCAGAAAGGGACAAAAGTAAATGGTATCTTTCACAAAGCAAGTGACTAATTGAAATCCAGTGATGAAATGTGGCACCAGGAACGAAGCACACAAATTTCATTATTTGCTGATTGATGCAGTTAGTGAATAAAAATATGAACTAAGCTACAGTATTTCTCAAAGAAGTGCAGAGGAATGGGTGTGTGAATATGATGAGTACAATGAATGATACATGAAAAAGGGGGGAAACTTCCAGCTGACTTGGGCTTCTTAATATTATTCTTTGACCTTTTGGTCAGCCCTGTTTCAGAAAAGCTCATCTGAAAGATAGAGCTATGGTAGGGCAGGGCAGAAGGGATGAAAATGACTTAGATGAAGAACTGAGACAGTTGGGTGATTTGCAGATGTATAAGAGAGCTGACATATCTTAAATGGTGTTGGGTTATTTGGGATCCCACTTTTGAAGTGACTTGGGACCCCAGGTTTTGCTCATTAGCTTGCCTCAGGGGCTGCCTGGGAGGGGCTTCTTATCCTTTGATGGGATGGGGGTTGTGAACAGCTGCAGCATCTGTGTCTAATCTAATTGTGCCTTTATAAATACTTCTTGCCTGTTTGTCATGTCCCTTCCCTCCCACCCTGTCTTCCTCCAAGTACTGTAAAATTTGTAAGCATCCCTGGAATGTACATGTGTCCTTTGTCATTCCTGGCCATAAGCTTTCTGCTGGTCAGCATTTGTAGTTTTGCAGGGCTCGTCTGGACATTAGTCACTTGGGCTGCAACACAAAGACTGTGATCTTTGGAAATGTAAGAAAATGCCTTTTTTGTTATTGTTAATTCCTGGAATCCAGCTGGATTGAGCCTCCTGAGCTTACACAGACTTTTTCAAACACATTCTATCTGTAAGGAAAAAGTGCTCCCACTGTAGGATTTTTGGGTTGTCAGACTTAGAGGTTATTTGCCCATGGACTGTTTTCATCACACTCACTCTCTCTCTCTCTCTCTCTCTCTCTCTCTCTCTCTCTCACACACACACACACACAC